GGAGGGAGGAAAGAGGAAGGAGGTGGAGAAGAGGAACTGGGAGGGATGGGATGGGGCAAGAGAAGAGAGGGGGAGGCGTAGCCCGAAGAAAGGGATGAGGAGAGGGGAAAGACAGGGGCAGGGGGGTGCGCGAGAAGGAGGGGGATTAGGGGGATGAGGGGAGGATGAGGGGGGTGGATGGAAGGGAAGAGAGGAGGAAGGAGGACAGCGGAGGAGGAGGGGGTGGGCGAGGAGAAGGCTGCTGATGATGACATGGGTGGTCATGATGATGACGGTAATAGTGCTGCTGATGAGAACGATAACGATGATGATGTTGATGCAACGGGTGATGACGGCGATGATGACGACGGTGACGACGACGATTCTGGTGATGGTGATCATGGTGACGATGATGATGACGATGATGACGATGATGATGATGATGATGATGATGATGATGATGATGATGATGATGATGATGATGATGATGATGATGATGATGATCATGATGGTGATGCTGATAATGATGAGGATGCTGATGAATCTGGCGACGATTTGTGTGTTACTTCCCCCGGGCCAGGAGCCCTTTTGTCCTGGTTCTGGTGGGAAAAGCGGGCCGACGGGCCGCAGAGGAGCGAGCAGACAAACGAACGAGCCCACCGCCGCACGCCAGAACCCCGAGACGGCTCCCACCGCAGGCATGCAGCGCCACCCGGGACAGCACAGCTCGCGCGGTCAGGCCAGGCCGCCCGCAAGCCGAGGGGTAGACCACCGAAGCCGCTCCCTGGGAGCAGCGATGTGCAGCGCCACCCGCGACACCAGAGCACGCGCTGTCAGCCGGGCCACGCCACCCACAGGACGCAGGTAGACCACCGAAGCCACTCCCTCGGGAAAATAATCCGCCGCTGTCAAGCCAACGGCAGGCCGCGGAGCTCGAACCCGAAGAGGTGCGGGCCACTCCCGCTTCTCGAGCCACCAGCGAGCGCGCCCGTGGCCCGAGGGGTAAAATATGCTCAAGAGGACGCGCGGCGCTGCAGGAGGTGGCCTGCTCCGCCGACGCACTAATCCTCCGCAACGGTTGCCGACAACGGGCCGTCTCCGAGACCGCACCACCGCTGCTCTCATCGCAACGACCCCCAAAGCAAGTCGTTTTACTCACACGGGCGGGGGCCGCGGTGCTTCGGCATCTGACTTCGGGACCGCCGAGCTTATGTGCTCGATCGGAGGGCCACCGATCGCCCTACAAAACAAGCGCGCGGGTGCGATGAGCCGTCGCACAAGGCCCTCGACCCATGAGCTCGGCGTGCCCACGGGAACTCAGGACGGCCAATCGGGGTCGAATTGATGTGCGAGCTTATGGGGCACCACCCGTTGCGGAAACATCAAACGAGCCTCAATACATTATCCGCACGGACGCCTTCACCTTCCACATACGGGCCTGCACGAAAGGCTTCATCGAGACGCTCCCCAAGCATGGTCAACTCCTGGTCGGGCAAGCTCTGGATAGCGAGAGAACGCCGCCATCGGGAAAAAGACCACTAGGATGCCCAGTAATCTCGAACATAGCTGTCTTAGGGGGCAGCGCGCTCGGCTTGATCAGGAAGGTCGGCACGAACAGCATGATCAGGAAGACAACCACGACCTTCAGGAGGAACATCAGCAGGCAAACCACCAGACCCAGGCAGACCACGCTGCAGACAAAACAAAACGACCGTGAGGCATATCAACACAACAGGAACGATCCCCGAGACCCAAATGAATTCCGATATCTTCTACAGTAAGAACTTCAGGACCCACAAATCGGCCATCATCAGGCACAGGAAGCACATCCGCAACTGGCTCAGGAAGACCAGTACGAAGTTCATGAGGCTCACCAAGAGACTCACAAACAACACCAGGAGGTAGTTCCCGACAAGGCTCGAGACTCTCACGGCGAAGCCCACCATCAAGAAGAAGAGACAACTCATGCACAGCCACATGTCCAACACGAACAGCTTCAGGATGGACTTCCGCTGCAATCAAGTTGAACGGGAAGGTCGGGAGGGACGGACGGGCCGAATCGCCATCTCCATGCCGTCGTGGGGTTTTGCACGGAGGATCGCCTTCGCACTGTCGCGCTGCCACAGCCCATGGATCACTCCCAGGCGCGGACCACGGGTCAGGGACATAATGACATCTATCACGACCGCGTCGGCGAAACCGATGATTATCACCACCGCTGTCATCAGGTCCCCCACCGCCGTCCAAGCCGTCATCGTCATCATGCGACCCTGCACCAGGCAAGCTATCCAAACGAGACGAGAACCAAATACAAACTTGATGCCGACTACCACTGTGACTATGTTCCCGGCCCAATGCAATGCACTGGCGAGCAAGCCGCGACACGCCTGCCAAAGTCTCCAGGGCCACCGACTGCCAGATGGGCGAGCACCGCATGCTGTCGATGATGAGATCGATCTTGATCTTCGAACGCGCAGGAGCGACGAACAGCACGTCGACACGTACAGATGCGCTCCCTGGAAGACCCGTTGCCGAACCTAGTCGATCCGAACAGCCACGACCATCGCAGAGCAGGACCGCCCCGCACTGCCCCCCGTCGTGGGCGCAGGTGCCTGAGCCAGAGCTATGGCAATGATGATGAAGAAGATGATGATGATGATTATGATGATGATGCTGATGATAATGATGATGGTGATGACGATGATGGTGATGATGATGGTGATGATGATGACGAGGATTCTGATGATGATAATCAGTAGTATTATTATCATTACTTTAGCTATTATCATTGCTATTGAAATATAATGGTGTTGCTAATGATGGGGATGATGGTGCTGCTGATGATGGTCATGGTGCTGCTGCTCAGGATGACGATGGTGAAAATACCGGCGATGACGATGACGATGGCGATGACGATAATGACGATGACGATGGTGATGCTGATGATGATGCTGCTGATGATGATTGGGACGCTTATCGTCATACTTTATCGCCATTATTATTGAACTGCTGATAATAACGCTTGTGATGATGAGGGCGATGATGCTGCTGCTGATGATGATGCTCATCATGATGATGCTGATGTTGACGATGGTAATGACGTTACCGACGATGACGATGACGATGGCGATGCCGACGACGATGATGATGATGATGATGATGATGATGATGATGATGATGATGATACTGATGATGCTGATTATGATGGCGATGCTGATGATGATTATGATGAAGGTGATGATTATGATGATGATTCCGATGATGAATATGGTGACTATGATGATGCTGATGATGACGATGATGAGGATGAGGATGATGATGGTGCGGATGATTACATGGGCAGTGATGTCGGTTCTGCTAACAATGGTAAGGTTGGTTATGATATCTTGTGTGAGTGATAGTACGAATGTCAAAAAATAGGGTTCAGAAATAATAATGGCGCTGCTGTTGATGGTGGTGGTAATGATGGTGATGATGATGAGGAAGACTATGATCATGAAGATTACCATGCCGCTGATGATGACGAAGAGGAGGAGAAGGAGGAAGAGGAGGCGGTCCAGGAGAAGGACGAGGACGAGGAGGAGGAAGAGGGACCAGGAGCAGGGGGAGGGAGGGGGAAAGGGAGGAGGCGGAAGACGAAGAGGCCCCGAACCCCGCCATTTCCCGGCTCTGCGGCTCCGCCCGCGGCGATCACACGCCTGCTAAATGCGGGGCCGCCCCGGCGGGAGGCCAGCGCGCCTGCTTTGCGGGCGCCGGTTGCGCTGCCCGCCCAGGGAGGAACCTCGGGCGCTCGCGCAGCTGCGGCGCGTTGTGCCCTAGGATGGGAGCCTTAGTCCTTGTGGGCCGCCGCCGAGCGGAGGTCCAGGAGAAGCGAATGCGGGAGGCGGGGGGGGAAAGGAGGGGCCGACACACGGCCAGCTTGCCTGCAGCGGGGAGCAACCAACTGCCCGTGCCAACAACCGTACATTGTGGAGTGGAGCCCGAGAGAAAGAGCGACGTGATGGATTGGGCCTGGAGCGTGAGTGGTTCGGTTTCCAGAATTGACAATCGAACTACTAAATGTGATCGCGGTCTGGTCAGTGTGATCTGGCGGAGGAGAGAGAACTGCCGACGGATAGTACCCCCACGGGGTGCGCTAAGCGGTGCCACCTTGTACTACATGAGCGGCCGCCCTCATGCGCACAAGCAGTTCTCCGATCTGGAGCATGTGCCAGTCCCGGTGTCGCTCCAATAAAACATGCCCGTCTGGGCACTGCGGAAGCAACCCGCAGGGGCATCCTTGGCACCAACCCTGCTGCCCTGCTTCTCTCTCGATAACGCGAAGTGCTGTAGAGCTGCCATGCTCATCACCTGATCACACATCAGACGGCTGGGACGTTTTCGGTGATCAATACTGAGCCAAGGCGCACGTGCTTCGGATTTTTGAGGCACGCGGAGATGATCGGCCAAGTTGCACCGTCGCGTATCTCGGATATGGAACGAGAGACCTGCAATCATCCCACCACAAGGGCAACGCACCATCCTGCAAGAGGTCATGCTTTCAACCTGGGCGTTTCTCATTGATGCCTGGTAGGCCTGTCTTTTCCCAAATTCCTCTGCGGGCTCTTCGGAAGAAATCATCGCCGCCACCTTACAAGCAGCATTGCCGATAGTCGCACATGCTTACATGTACTTACACAGCGCCGCCGAGCACAGTAGGGGAGCCGGTCACGGGCAAACATGTGGCTCTGGACATTCCTCTGGGCTCTCTACTGGCCTGATGCGCCTGGCCACCCCTTCCACCGCTGCCACAAAAATTGAAGGGATATCGGCAACAATGCATGTCATGCGTCTTGCTTTCCCGACATGCGCCTTGCGAGCTTCGCGGGTGGCACCACACATGATCTTTTCCCTGCAATGCATGCTGCTCCACGCCAACTTGGCTTGCGAACTCGGCAAGGCAGAACCGTACGCGACATGACTGGTGCACAATGGCCCGACCGGAACCTGCTGACAGAACACACGGCTGAATATCAACATGA